AAAAGAAGAGAAAAAACAGGAGAAATTTTCATAAACTTCCGTTCCTTCGTTATAAGTAAACGGAAAATTACACAAAAAAATGAAACTTGCCCGTTTCGCGATAAACTTGTTATCTCAGGCCAGTGTATGAAATTATAAGATGCTAGATTCATTGGACTGCGCTCTTAATAGTACAGTTTTATTATTAATGATAAAAAAACATCGTTAAATGTTGGATTTGTGCGACGAAGCATTTTTTTAATGGATGATAATGGAATGGTACCGTGCCAAGGGCTTACGCTGACGGGGTACCAGTGGAAGATGATAAGATGAGCATGAGAACAGGTCAGTCAGGCCATCGTGGTAAAGTCAACAGGAATTTATCAAGATAGTTTCCAGAGGGGGGAACCGCGTGGATGTCAACCTGACATGGTACATTGCTAGCATTGGGGTTTTTTAGGATTTTGGGATATTCTCAGGTGCTGTAGCAATGCGTTCGACATAGGTCTATTGTGCTCACCTTTTTTCAAAGTTCGACCTAGACCCGTCAGGGACAAGAATTGAAGGATATTCTTAGGAGCGATGGTTTTTATCTCCTCAGGATAGAGTGTATACATTGAAGGTATAAGATATTTTTGCATGAGTGGCTCATATGATGTGCAGTTTGGTTTCCTCGTCATCTTGGCAGAATCTGATCTCCTCAGGATAGAGTATACTTTCCAAAGCACTGGGGTTATTAATCCATATACCTAATAATCCCATCCGACGAAGCTATAAACTCAGGCCACTGTATGTATGTGGCGGCCTCGGTGGTCTAGCGGTTAATCGGACCGCCTTACTTCCGATGGTCGCGGGTTCGATTCCTCGTACGGCGCAAACATTTGTATTCATGAGTATGTTTGTTTGTCTGGGTGTTTTATATGTAAAGTATGTATTTGCGAATTTATATATCTATGCATTTGTATCAGTTATCTATTACCCATAATTCAAGCTTTAGCTAGCTTATCTTGGGACTAGATGGCGCTGTGTGAATTGTCAAAAATTAGAACTATTTAAATAAATTATATCCAGTTTGTTAATTAAACTAATGAGATATTAGAATTGGGTTAAAATGATATCTACCATTAAGTAACAATTAAATAATAATATATGTTGACAATAGTGTAGTACATGTGTGTGATAATAGTACACGTGACAAGGTGTTCTTGAATTAGTAATATAGGCTCCGATTAGAGTATGGCACAATGGTCAAAGACTTCAAATAATAATATTGATACGTGAAGCAAAAACTTTGTACCCCTTTGTACGGAAATATTACTAAGGACTATATAGTTTCACACACTTATAGTTTATACTAGCTGTACCCGCGACTTCGTCCGCGTGGAATTTAACTTTATTTATCTAAAATAAAAGTAGCCTAAGTTACTCCTTATTATATCAGCTACCTGCCAAAAAAAGTCCCGTCAAAATCGATCCAGCCATTTCAGAGATTAGCCAGAACAAACAGACAGACAGACAAAAATTGTAAAAAATGTTATTTTGGTGTATGTACGGTACATACACCAAAATAACATTATTTAGTAAAAAATGGTCATTTCAATATTCCAAACACTCCAATTTTATTTATATATATATATATATATATAGATGGTCCTACATGAATGAAGATATATTGATTTTGATTGAATAATTACATTATTTACTGAAATACTAAGTGACTTAATTTATAGCACAAATTAACCTTCGCCCACAATCCGCCGCGCTATCCTCTATGAGTCCTTGAACTTATGAATGTCGGTTTTTTTCCGTGAATATGTACTATTATAAATAAATAAATCTCGACATCTATTTATCTTTTGTCTCATAACAATATCCAATGCAATATCCTAGGGGCAGTTCAATCATTACGTAGGCAGATTTATTACAATTATTTACCCCCCCCCCCCCTCCTTATCAGCAAAAGTAAGCGAAACTCTTACCCCCTCCCCCATGCTTACGTAAACATTTTTCAATTAATGTATTGTTTTCTAGCAAAGACAATGTGAGAGTTGCGATTCGTGTAAAAAAGTAAAAAAATTGCCCATGACGTAATCATCATCTAGACTCTCCCACCCCCCATGTCATCCAAAATAAGCAAAGCAAAGACCCCACCGCCCCCCCCCAGTGCTTACGTAATACTTGAACGATCCCCTATGGCCTATTTTATGATTCTTATTGAAATTGACACCACTGTCTTCCATTAAAAAAATATTAACATCTCAAAACAATGAAACTTAGAACTTTGATACAAATAGTCTAAATATATATAACTCAAAGGTGACTGACTGACTGACATACTGATATTTTCTTTATTACAGTATTTAATTGAATTAGTGCTAATTGGTAATTTGTATTCACACACTTCAATTTAAAAATGTAAAGTAACAACAAAATTATTTAAAAGAGCAACACACAAGTTTCTTGCTCATTCAACTTGTGATGATACTTTCTGAATGAGCCGAAGATTGAAAAAAAAATGTGAATATTCAAAAATGCTTCTATGTAAGATAAATGATTTTCTATTCTATTCTACTGGTTGAAAGTACTTGGTGCTAAATCCGTCAAATATACATGTTTGTATTAAAGTTAAATAAAAAAATACGTGATGTAGTAATGACAAATTGAATTGGCAACGCAGCAGCTGAGAGCAGTCATGTACGCCATAGTTCTTATGTATATTGTACTAGTACGTAATTACTCATTACTGTTGCTCCAAGAAAGGAAGTGTGCGTCACTCACCTTCGGCCAAATGTGGAGGCTAATCTATCAGTTTGTTTTCCTCTATGTACCGTAAAAGAATAGGTTTACTTAAATCTTTTGCCTGTGCAAATTGTTAATGATTAGTTGAAGTGAATGAGCGTATTATAACGCGAGTTATAGCGCGGAACAAACACGCAGATTTGGACTCCTTCACTAGTCGACAATAGTTATCTAATTCTAGTTACTAGATGTTTATTACTTTTTTAAAGAAATCTATTAAGGATAGTACTAACTAAATAAAACGAACTAGTAGTATAATTGTAACTAGTAAACCCGCGTAACTTCATCTGCATCACACTTACTTGATATTTATCATTGTATTTCGCCTAATTTACATAATATCTTTTTATATTATAGACTATTTGTTGTTATGATGATAAGCTATATTACTTTAAAGTTTCATAAAAATCTGTTCAGTAGTTTTTATGTGAAAGAGTAACAAACATCCATTTAACCATCCATAGTCATAAACTTTCGCGTTTATAATATTAGTAAGATTCTAAATTACACTGAACAAATTTCATTACATCATCTAATATCAAGTCTAACAGAGCTAAAATACCATGAGTACTAAATAATTTATAGACATACGTAATTAAAATAATATTGTTATAATTTTATGTGTGTACACATAAAAACCCACTGACACAAACAGATATACTCACCTATGCAAATGTTTATATATTATGTGTATAATTATAGAATCCGTAATTATATGATAAAACAAAGTGTTACACCGCTATTTTACCAAGGTTGTTAAACTTCATCTGGTCTTGTTATTTCATCACATAGTACATCATAGATTTAAGAGGAGTGTCATGAAGTAGATTACAGAAGCAGCATACATGTTGTGTTGTCATAAAAATTTCGATACCAACAAATTGCAATATGCGTATTTCTTTACAATTTCCAGTACAATTGTAAGAATACATCGCAATTCTGATAACAGATGCTAATTATTTGATCTTATACCTTTATCATAAAGGTATGATCTCAAATAGAATGCAATAATTTATAATAGAGGTCGGAATAATAACAGTTAATTGTCGTGTTGCTACGTCTCGAACTGCGTCCGGAGTAATTGACATAACATTCAACGTGATTATGTTTAGTTTATTAGGTTATACACGGGCAGCTAATTATGCTATTGTTTGAATTAACTAAGGCGTTTGACTACGTGTACCACGCTATTCTAACAACATGCTTGGTTCACATTGCTCTGCTAGCTAGCAATATTTGTAGCGTTGTTTTGACTGAGGGGTCAAGGTTATTACTATACATATTTATTAATATATACGATGTCTTATATTGACATGCGTTTGGAGTACTGCAAGGGTAATATTTGGACCTCAATTATTTATTTCCAAGTAGATATTTTTAGATGTATTGAAGAATATACATATTTTCACAAATATTTTTCACAGTTAATGAACTTTTGTCATTAATAAGTCAAGGTTACATGAGAAACGAATGAATAGAGTTTAGAGGTTTAATTTTGTTTTAGTAAGGACATATTTAATAAAGTAAATAATTATTTTACTCTGAGCTGACGTATACCTGATTGGGAGTGGTAACAATTATGTATAAACCTGAGCAGCCTCACAGATCTGTATTATTATTTGTTGCTATATGACTTTTAGAGGCATATAATATTCACTTAATCATTTTAAATGTTCTTTTTTAAGAAAGCTCTTGGTCTGGGAAATTTTTGTAAATATATACGTTCAAAATGTATGTTGTCTTGTTTAGATTATGCACCCTATTCTTTAATTTTTTTAAATATATTTTCTTCGTAAATACTAAAGACGAGGACTTTGAGAGCATCCGGATCGGACTAAGCGATATGATAGCGTGTATGTTTTACTACTTGCCTCGACCTGTAATTATGTCTAACTTGCATCTTCGCATCATAAACTAACTGCCTACATCTTTTGCAATGCGGTATCCGTTGCAGAGTTGTTAGCGATCATTGTATCTATCTAACCATTAATCTTGGAGTTTATTACTTTTATTGCTGTAATATCATGTTAATGTTGCTATAAGTAGATAATATTTTACCGATATTGCAATCTGCTGTTGTTATATTAGAATGTGTAAGATTTTTGTGGATTCTGTTTGTGCTAAAGTAAGATGAGGAGAGTCATCTACATAAACAAACACAATTATTACTATTTTTATATTAGATTTTTTTTATATTAATCTATTGTTTCTTATTGTTACAGTAAAATGGACGAACGACCAGAGACGACTATCACAACTTAATACAAGAAATATAAATAAACGAGAAATTATACTAACCAGTTCCCAGCATCTGTGATTTAAAAATAAGTAATAACGATCTCTTATTAACATATAACGTAAGTTTATATAAATAATTTAAGGATACATAGAAAAGAATAATAAAAGAAAGACTAAAGATATAGAAAAATGCCAGCGATACTCTCAAAGATTCGGGAGCAGGCGTCGAGGGTACAACCCACAGTGGCACTGGGTGTCGGTGTCGGTGTTGCTTTAGCTGCTTGTGCTCTGTACGGAACGAGGGACAAGAAACAACCACCACCATGCAACAATAATAATAATTACAAGGTAAGAAATATACTACTTCTTACTAATATTATAAACGTGGAAGTTTGTGATTGTGGATGGATGGATGGAAGTTTGTTGCTTTTTCATGCAAAAACTACTGAATGGATTTGAATGAATTTTTATAATAATAAACTTGACACGTAGACTATAAATTTTAGCCACGGGAACAGCTAGTATATAATAAGTAGACAAATAATTCGGAACAATTTACACAGAGCCACCTATTCCCTAGCTAAATTGAGCTTGTGGCATGGGTGCTAGACAACTGATACACTTAAATGAAAACGTATTTCTAAATACATCTCATTATGCTTAAGAATACAAATGTTTGTATGATGCGAGAATGGATCCCGCGAATATAGGAAATAAGATGAATAGATAATCATGGCCGCACGATATTAAGTCCGCTAAATGTATTGAACTATATTTTGGATTGAAGTTAAATAAATAAAAAACTACTTTTATTGCCAAACATGAACAGAAAAAAGGGTACAATTAAGAAAAAAGCTTACAGGAGATGTCTTGGCTATTAAGCACATCCTCAGTGAGGTGCGCCTAATCAGCGCTGGTTTTCAATCAGCCTTCATTACTCGTGAAAAATATAAACGTGCGGGTTTAAAGTATCTAAGTAAATCTATTTGTTGTCTAGTACTACACAAGCTCTGCTTAGCTTGGTTTTAGAGGGCTCTGGCATAGGTGTGAATTGTCCTTGGCTATTATTATTAATGACGAATAGAATTTACTGTCTCTTTTATCAAAAGGTCTCTTGGCCTTTATGTGGAGTGCAAATTCTTCCGTGTGCGTTGATAGATGATAGAACTGTGCTACCTCGTCAAGAGCAGGAGCGGATTGTGAATTTGTGGGGCCCTGGGCTAAATCTACTAAGGGGCCGACCTAATTATATTACTACCAAAATCAAGCGACCAGAAATTCCCCATTCCTTTCGGTAGACGCGCACTTGCATGTTTTGATTGATCTCAGGGTGGCCAACCTTATGATAGGTTTTCTAATATTCTAGATATTTTTTTAAATTCTAAATATAGTTTTAGTGGGGACTGGGGGCCTTTTGTATCCTCGGGGCCCTGGGCTGCAGCCCAAAAAGACCTTAGGTAGATCCGTCCCTAGTTAAGAGTGTCACATGAACCTACCATTGGGTGTGGGACGTGATTCAGAACCGGTCTTTGTGGCAATTTTTTGTTGGTATTTAAATTTGAAGTCGAACGATTATGACTTTTATGATTGTTGTATATCTATAAATAACTTTGGTGTTTAATTGCTTATTAGCAATTCAAGAATGTTCTATTACCAAATAGAGATAGAATGATTATGATAGAATGAATTTTAATATAGTTATAAGTTGGTTTGTTTCTCTGATGATATACATAGAATGTAACTGATTGTTGTCTGTACATTAAATCGAATATATATACTTATTCAAAATGTCGATATAATTAGCGGTGTAACAGAAATATTGAAGAACATGACAATCGTAATATAGAGAATACAGCGTTGTATATTTGAATATTATAAAATAAATAATTGAGGAGTTAAATACCTATTTTTGTTGGAGTTTCCAACAAAAGTAGCTGTTGCCAATTACTTTTACAATCTGTTTATGTTCTTTGTAATATACTTCTGGTGCGATAAAGAGTAAATAAATAAATACATCATCATCATCATCATCGCAGCCCGGAAGACGTCCACTGCTGGACATAGGCCTTCCCCAAATATCTCTACGATGATCGGTGCTGTGCAGCTCGCATCCAATGCCTTCCAGCGATCTTGACCAGATCGTCGGTCCACTTTGCTGGAGGCCTTCCCACGCTGTGTCTTCTGGTCCGTGGTCGCCACTCGAGGACTTTGTTGCCCCAACGGCCATCTGTCCTACGAGCTATGTGCCCTGCTCGTTGCCACTTCAGTGTCGCAATTCTTCGGGCTATGTCGGTCACTCTGGTTCTTTTGCGGATCTCCTCATTTCTGATTCGATCACGCAGCACTCCAATCATAGCCCTCTCCATTGCCCTCTGAGTGACTCTGAGCTTGTTCATGAGGCCCTCTATGCCGTAAGTCATCAGCAACACACATTGGTCGTAAATTTCGTCTTGATAAATAAATACATGCTGTTCAATAAATTAATATGTATTTTGTTTTTCAGTTGGCGAAGAATGGTAAATACCATTCGGTTGAAAATGGCGCCAGTGAAACGTGCGGGGGACGCTGCGGGACGGAGCAGTGCGCACTCTGCCGAGGAGATGCAGACACAGACAACAAACAGAATATTGTAAGTATATACCTATATTAATATTATAAACGCGAAAGTTTGTGAGTATGAATGGATGTTTGTTACTTCACGCAAAAGCTACTAAACGGATTTTGATGAAACTTTACAGTAATATAGTTTATATATCAGAAAACTAGGAGGGTATAAATTTCAGGCAGGTGAAACCGCGGCCACAGCTAGTATGTATATGCACCATGAAGACGGTATCACACCATCTGATGGTAAACGGTTACTGTAGCCTATGGACGCCTGAACCACTAGGGGTGTTTCGTGCGCGTAGCCGACCCTAATTCTTTAAAAATCCGATGTATATATTGAGATATATTGGGAAATGTACTTTAATGTTTTAATATTGAAGTCCATTTTCCAATGTTTTTTTTATTTATTAGCTAATGAAGTTTTGGGAATATTAATGAAGGAGGCGTTTTTAGTTACACGTTACAATATCGCATAGATATAGATTTTGAAATATAATCTCTTGAAATTTCTTACTTCTCTACCATTAACGTATGACGTACTCGTAATTCCTCACTTAACATGTGACATCGTTCCTGGATGATTTCTTCTTTGTTATTAATTTATAGATAGGTTCTATCTAAAATAGTCCACAAGATTTCAATTAACTCCGATAAAAAACAAAATTTATCTGCGTTATATTCCCAATTTTTTTGCAATATTATTCATTGCCCATAACTATAAGGCCAGTTAAATAAAAAATGATAGCATGTTTTTCATTGAATTCATGATGCCAACAGTGTGTGTTTATGAGTCATTAGCTGACCCGCGAACAATCGTCTACCCCACATAGCCCCCGATTTTGCTACATTTATCAATGCAACTCCGCTCCTATTGGTCGCAGCGTGATGTTATAAAGCCTATAGTCTTCCTCGGTAAATGGGCTATCGAACACTAAAAGAATTTTCAAAATCGGTTCAGTAGATCCAGAGATTACCCCTCTTAACTTAATATACATATATATATTGTATGAACGTGTTTAGAAACACGGTTAGTAACATGGCGCGCGTTTTAAATCTCTTCCTCTTAGAAAGACTCAAGATGTCGGAATGCGGAATTGTGGATAATTATAGTGAAACAGGACCAGATTGATTATGTAACGTGATTGCTAACCAGTCTACAAGCTAGACTGGTTAGCGATCAACAAAGCCAAAGCAAAACAGCCCATCCTCAGATCACTTTAATCTTTTCCCCTACCCATCCTTTCTTAAAATGTTGGCAATGCACTTGCGATTCCCCTAGTGTTGCGGGTGCTCATTGACTGTACTCAGTTACCATCAGGAGAGCCCTAAACTTGTTTGCTTCCTACACTAAAAAAGAGATTTAGATTTAATTAATCTACCGATCATTCGGAAAGAAAAACGAGCAAGAAACTTGTGTGATGCTCTTTTAAAAAAGTATTGTTTGAATTAGATTTACATTAACAAGGATTAGGCATCCGACAATCAAAATAGAAACCGCTACGCGCTTAATCTCTGTTCAATCAGATAATATTGTCAGCGCTAAATAAAAATCATTTATGTTTTCAGGAAGATGCAGATGAAACCCTTTCAGTACCAGAGGAACACGTGCCCGGCCTGAATTTAGAGTTCCTCAGACAGCTGGGGACCCTCGCCCGTATCATGGTGCCAGGGTTCCGCAGCCATGAAGTGGCGTTGCTCAGTGCACACACCCTCTGCCTTTTCTCTAGAACATTCCTTTCAATATACGTAGCTTCTCTAGAAGGATCCATAGGTAAGATTCTTCTCTTCTATCATTCTTATTATGTTAAAGTCTAAGCACAACTATACTAAGATTATAAGGCTGAAGAGTTTGTTTGTTTGAACGCGCTAATCTCAGGAACCAGTGGTTCGAATTGAAAAATTCTTTTTGTGTTAGATAGTTCATATGTCGAGGAAGGCTTTAAGCTATATAATATTACGCTACGACTAATAGTAGCGGAGGATCAGTGAAAAATGTTGCAAAAAATTATTGGGGAAAATTATTCATATTTGAGGGTTTCTGTTGCGTGCGCTGCGCGAAAGAAGTCGCGGACGTAGCTAGTATGGTATAAGCTGAGATGATTGAGAATCTAATGTGTCCAGTTTGATCAAAAAAGAAATATATATATCAGGACAATTCACACAATGCCATCTAGTCCCAAGCTAAGCAGAGCTTGTGTTATGGGTACTAGACAACTGATATAAATATTTAGATACATTTTTTTTGTAAATACATACTATATCGATACAAACAATCATACTCATGAATACAAATGTTTGTATCTGTCTGGGTGTTTTTTACATATATTGTGTATGTATTTACAAAAAAAATATGTATTTGTATCAGTTGTCCAGTATACATCCATCTAGTCCTAAGATGGTGCTGTTTGAGTTGACCTGAAATACTATTATATTATTGAGACAAACTTGCTGTCCCCAAGTAGCGTTTAGAAAAATTTAATAGGTCTTTTATGGGAATAGGTATAAAAATTTACAATAAGATACCAAAGGATATGTTGGAATTACCCTTAAATAAATTCAAAACATCTATTACATCATATTTACTGAGCAAAGCCTATTACTCACTAAACGATTACTTGAATGACGAGTGTGCATGGCAATAGTTGTTCATGCACTGAATTTTCATTTAATGTTAGACATAGACACCTATATAAATATACATCGTAAATAAACTGGCTTTAAAAAAAAAAGTATTTCAATTGAGTTTCTTGCCAGTTCTTCTCAATTGGATCTATATACCGAACTGGACGGTAGGGAAAAAAATAAAATTATAATGTAAAAATTTGACGTTCATAAGCGGCTAGAAATGTCCTACATCAATAAATGATTTTTGAATTTGAATTTAAATGTATTATTAACCAATAATACTCATGAATATGATATAAATGTTTGTACTACCTGAGGAATCGAATCCGCGATTCGAAGTAAAACGGTGTATTTAACCTAGCTAGCTAGACCATCGAGACGAGTATTCTATCAGTTGCCTAGTACCCATAACACAAGCTCTACTCAGCTTGGGACTAGATGGCGTTGTGTGAATTGTCCAAAGATATTCTTTTTCTCTTGTCTTGGCAACAAACAGTCTTTATCTATACATCTGTACATATAAATGAAATTGGAGTGTCTGTTTGCAATATTGAAATAAACGTTTTTTTACTATATGCATATGAATACGGTACATACACCAAAATAACATTTTTTACAATTTTTGTCTGTCTGTCTGTCTGTTTGTTCCGGCTAATCTCTGAAATGGTTGGACCGATTTTGACGTGAAATTTTTGGCAAGTAGCCGATGTAATAACGGGTAACTTACGCTATTTTTAATTTAGAAATATAAAGTTAAACTCCACGCGGACGCAGTCGCGGGAACAGCTAGTATAAATATGTAATTATTTGTACATTTATCGTATTTTTTACGTCGTTACATTTACATCGTATACATTGAGTGTCGAAAAGTTTTGCATAATTATATCGTGAGCCTAGTGGACTAAAATTTTTTTTTTTATTTAATTTCAGTGAGGCATATTGTGCAAAAGGATATGCGCCGCTTCGCAGCACTCCTGCTGCAGTGGTTCGGTATCGCGATACCGGCCACCTTCATCAATTCCATGATCAGGTAATATCACCTAGAACTCCTACACTTAACCTCCTTTGGTTTATTACTTAACTGTATATTTAATAATAGCTTTTATATTAAATGCAAGCGAAGCCGCGGACGCTCGCTTTGTATCATTACTGGCTGCTGAAGTAGCAAAATGTTGATATGTTATTTTTTGTTTTTTATAAAAAAAGAAAATTATAATAAAATGTAGTCTAAGTTCATTCTAATACCTCAAAGAATATGTGTACAAAATTTCATGATGATCGGTTCAATAAAAAATATTTGTTTTTTTTAATAAAATGTAGTCTAAGTTCATTCTAATACCTCAAAGAATATGTGTACAAAATTTCATGATGATCGGTTCAATAAAAAATATTTGTTTTTTTTAATAAAATGTAGTCTAAGTTCATTCTAATATCTCAAAGAATATGTGAACAAAATTTCATGATGATCGGTTCAGTAGTTTTTGCTTGTCACCATAACATAGATGTATTATGCATATATACTTTACTCTTGGATCACTCTATCTATTGCTGAAACTGCATTAAAATCCGTTCCGTAATTCAAAAGATATAAGCGAACAGACAGCGGGAGCCATTTTGATTTTATACTGTACTAGCTACTCGCCCCGGCTTCGCCCGGGTGTACATGTATTATACATATAAACCTTCCTCTTGAATCGCTATCTATTAAAAAAAACTGCTTCAAAATCTATTGTGTAGTTTTAAAGATTTAAGCATATATAGGGACGGACAGACAGCGACAGTGACTTCATTTTACACTATGAAATGATGATAAAGATCTATTAAGCTCTCTCCTAATCTCCTCTCTTAGGATATGTTAAATCTTATTAGCTCAGTTTTTATACAATTCTTATATATATATACATCCCTCCATGACAATTTACAGTTCACATAAATCTACATATTCCTAATATCTTGGATTTACTATTTACCTATATAAATAATAATAATAATCTCAGGACAATTCACACAGCTCCATCTAGACCTAAGTTAAGCTAGCTATGGGTACTAGACAACTGATACAAGTACATAGATATATATATTTTTTCGTAAATACATACATATTATTCATAGAAAACACCCAGACCGATACAAACAATCATACTCATGAATACAAATGTTTGTGCGAGGAATCGAACCCGCGACCATCGGTCGTAAAGCGGTGTGCTAGACCGCTAGACCAATGAGGTCGTCAAATATCAAACTACAACAACATCATCTGAGCGCGAGGGTACAAATGTTAACTCGAGTGTGTATAATTTGCAGATACCTAGAAAGCAGACTGGCGCTTGCATTCCGCACCAGGCTGGTGAACCACGCCTACGACCTGTACTTCAAGAATCAAACATACTACCGCGTCTCCAATCTGGACGCCAGAATAGAGAACGCAGATCACAGGTAATAATTTGTATATAATAATATTCTTTTATTCAGCAACATAATACAGAGTAAAAATATAGAAAGACTTAAAAATTTCGAAACGGCCTCCACTGAGCTGATGCCGCAGCGTGCCACTGCAGCGTTGATTTTCAGTGGAGCCACTTGAAAAAAAATCCCATTCTTGGTGATGATATTATTGACTTTAAATATATAAAATGAAGAGTAAGTTAAATGTGTTTAATGGATTGTATTAATAGTTTTAAATAAAATAATTTCATAATAACGTATTGTAATAATAATTTTAAATATAAAAATGTGATAATAATGTAAATGTAATAAATATTACTGTAAGATTTTACACGCCGGAAACGGCAGGGCATGTTTGGAACTATTATAATCTTAAGACCATTATGTACACATGTTCCAGTAAATAAATTGAATTGAATTGAATAATAGAAGTCTACTTAATTGTGTAATATAATACAGCAAAAGTAACATATTTATTCAATATATATATATACATACAACTACTGGTTCAGTAGTTTAGGAGTCCATCTCGCGGACATACAACGTGACATATAATTTTTATACACAAAGATATATATAAATATTAATAAATGATTTTAATTTTGATTGTATTCTCTTCACCAGGCTAACAGAAGATGTATCAGTATTCACGCAGTCCGTAGCTCACCTGTACAGTTCCCTGACGAAGCCGTGCTTCGATCTGCTTCTCATCGTACTGACGCTGGCCAGTTATGCCAGCAAGATGAAGGGCAACATATTAATAGGTCAGTATCGTTGTTTAGTTAAATATTAGTTTTATTATCATATATTTAAGAACTATTATAATGTTGACACATAATATATAAAAAAATTAAGTTTAAGGGTGATTTTCTCGAAACTCTCCCTGTTATATATCCACAACAGAAAGAAAAAGTTTTGAGATGTTGGCGAGGTTTAGTCATTATCCTGCTGTACAGACAGGTTTATTGCTATCAACGTGGACTCTATTTTCTTCATGGTTTTTTTTTCTTATGGATGATAATGGAATGGTGCAACCGCCTAATGATAGGATGAGCTTGAGGTTAGTTAGCCTATCGTGATAAATTCACCAAGATGTATCAAGATGGTTTCCAGGAGGAACCGCGTGGGGGTCAACCTGACATGTGCACCATGTTGTTTATTGTTACCATATTGTTAGCAATAATTATCTTATATATAAAATTCTCGTGTCACAGTTTTCGTTCCCATACTCCTCCGAAACGGCTTGACCGATTCTCATGAAATTTTGAGCGTATTGAGTAGGTCTGAGAATCGGCCAACATCTATTTTTCATCCCCCTAAATGTTAGGGGTAGTACACCCCTAAATTTTTTTTTATTTTAAGGCAAAACAACGTTTGCCGGGACAGCTACTCAATCTATATTACTAACCCTTTCTTCCCCCATGATGAGTTTGACGAGGATGAAGTCAGATTAGCTCATCATTGCGAATTCACAAGGAATTAACCACGATATATTTTAAGGGGGACCACGTGGAGGTCGATTACATTTAAATATATTAAACCTATATGGTCAATATTCAGCCCCGATGCTGTGTGGAGTAGTTTCTAGCAACTAGATCTAATACGAATATGATGTTGCCAGGTCCGGGCATAGCGACGGTGGTGATCGTGCTGACTGGGCAGCTGCTGCGGCTGCTGAGTCCCAGGTTCGGTGCCTTGGCGAGTGAGGAGGCTCGCATGCGTGCTAACCTTCGTCACGTCCACTCGCGGCTCATCGCGCACGCTGAGGAGGTCGCCTTCTACGGAGGTCACAAGGTACTTACAAGACCTATACATCTTTACATATTTTTACACTAGTCAGCTCGTGACCACGGCTAGTGTAACCTAGTCGAAACGTCGAGAGAAGTAAATACCATTATTTACCATAAAATTATTTTTGTTTAAACCCGTTTAACTATATTTATATACTAGCTGTGCCCTCGGTTTCACACGCGTTAAATTTCAATATAAAATATAGCCTATGTGTTATTCGGATGCATAAGCTACATTACTGTAAAGTTTCATTATCCCTTCGAATGTTTTGACATAGATCTGTGCGCAAAACCGTGACTTCTTTTTAACCAATTTAGTCCTTATTATTAAACGAAATAAGATCGAAACGCATTTGTAAATATACATTGGAGCGTACATAACGCCTCTTCACTTTCGGTTGCTACGATAGGCGACAGACATTCGAAAGGTTAAAATCAGTTCAGTTCAGTTGTTTTTGCATGAAAGAGTAACAAACAACCATTCACAAACTTTTGCGTTTAAAATGTTATTAAGATATCTGAACACACTTGCAGTGTTTAGCGGTTTGTTTTTGGATAATAATGGAATGGAGCACCCGCCTGCGCTAACGGTTTACGCTGGCGGGGCTCCAGTGGAGGATGATAAGATGAGCATGAGGTCAGGTCAGTCAGCCCATCGTGCTGGCTAATCAGAAATGTATTTTTTATTCTAAATTAGTATTTAAATTTATAGTTCCTATTATTTATAATTTACCCACGCACATGAACTATAATAATAATAATCTCAGAACTATTAACACAGCGCCATCTAGACCCAAGTTAAGCTAGCTAAAGCTTGTGTTATGAATACTAGATAACTGATACATATACATAGATATTTTTTTTGTAAATACATACATATTATACATAGAAAACAACCAGACCGATACAAACAATCATACTCATGAATACAAATGTTTGTGCCGTGCGAGGAATCGAACCCGCGACCATCGGTCGTAACGCGGTGTGCTAGACCGCTAGACCACCGAGGTCGTCAAATGAACTATTCATGTGGTGTGAATTGGGCCTGAGGTATTATTATTATAATTGTATAATAAAACGTATCTGGTTCCAGGTGGAGCTAAGTCAGCTGCAGTCGGCGTACAAGGAGCTGGTGGCGCAGATGACTGGCGTGTTCAACAAGAAGCTCTGGTACGTGATGCTGGAGCAGTTCTGCATGAAGTACGTGTGGTCCGGCACTGGAATGGTGATGCTAGCGCTGCCCATACTCACAGGCACCACGGAAGGTATGTATTATGTTTATTTATTTATTTATCTACTATCTATAGAAGTAATAGCGTGTCTTTTATACTATTTTTCTTTATTTTGTATTCAAAAATATGTATGTATATTTTTTATTCCTTTATATACACGACTACCTGCAAATGTATCTAAGACATTTATAATATGTTAATTGGCTTTCGAGGCACAGGTTCAACTATATCGAAAATTTTGTATTGCAAACTCGCGCGAAAGTATGAAAATAAATAGTTAAAATCCCTCTTGATTTTTGGCGCTGACTTCGGGCTCTAAACTGTCAGGTCTAAAGATACAATTCCTGTGGCGGCGGTGGCGGCGGTGTTGCCACAACATACTAACTACCATATAGTAATTTTAAGTAGATATGAATGACGTGGTCCAGTGGAGTGAGTAGTCATGCTCACTAAAATGTTCAGATATGTGGCGGCGTGGTGGGCCGGGTCATTGGGACAACAGATGTGGAGATAACGAGAAATCATACGTCATACTCGTGAACGAGTGCTGCTTGTAGGGACTGGTCTGCTCTTATTACTACGACTGATTTAATCTTATTGTGTATTTATATTTGACCCTAATAAATTAGTTCTGGTTGGTAGTTTATATTCACACGTTTCGACTTGTAAATGTGAACTTACAAGCATTATTTAAGAGAGCAACACACAAGTTTCTTGCTTGTTCTTCTTGTGATGAGAAAGTTTTCCGAATGAGAGGTAGATAAAAAAAAATTGTTATGACTATTCAAAAGTGCGTAAATTAAGTTTATTTGAATAAAGGATTATTTATTCTATTCTATTCTATAACAGTAATGTTGACTTCCAAAAACGTATGTGCCTTCGTCATGTAGAAATGATTTGTAGAGTATGTTGTAATATAATTATTAGGATTTATTAGATTTATATATTTAAAGAAATATGGAGTATACCCTTTCTACCCGCTAATGTATCCTAATCTGTTTGTATTAGGTATGGTAGGGTACAACGAATTGCGGGTGCGGAGAGAGTTATGCCTAGTGTTATATTCATTTAAATTGATTAGGGGTAAAATGTTGTTGACGTCGACCGCAACTGCTGGCTGTGCCGCGCGGGGCCACACACTTACTAGGCAAAGCACCGGTCACAAGAGCACTGCGTACGTTAAATCATATAACGGAGCAAATAGATCTATTTTCTTGTTCTCTGAATGAGTTCACGAAGATCGCTTTATTTATTATAAGTTATAATTAATTTAAAAAATAATGTTTGCTGCACTATTGTATTAGGCTAAGACCTGTAAAAATAGATGTAAGTGTAGAAAATAAATAAATAAGTTTTGATGGCTACAGGCGAGGGTGGTGGCGGCATCAGCGCTCGCACAGAGTACATGACCACCTCGAGGAACCTTCTCAACTCGGCTGCAGACGCCATCGAGCGGCTGATGTCCAGTTACAAGGTAACCACATCTTTTTTTATACTAAAAAATATATGCACATAATGTAGTTAGCAACATGGCCGTATCAGCTAACTATTATTGACAACATGGATGGCTCAACGGAAATATATAAAATAAAAAAAAAAACATTAAAATATTAGTTCCCAAGTATATCATTACTTCTAAAGTTAGGTTAAGTTTACTTTAATTGAATTTGTTTTTATATAACTTACCCTAAAAGGCTTAAATCCATCTACTCGGGGGTTGTTGCCTCTGTTGATGCCGGGGCTAAGGGTTTCATCTCAAGGCCCTTCACCCCTTTAGGGGATGTTGGAGACCAGTGTCAGTCAGACAGATTTGGTGTCTGTGCGGCTGTCGTTCGATAGCTGTATGGATCTTCGTTACTGACAGATGGCATTAACAGCCCTCAAACCCAATGGATGTTAGAAAACATTCATAACTTTTATTTTATTATCACTTAATTTCCATTAATGTATTTTTTTAGTAAAAATTTCATCATATCCATTACATAATTTGTACACGTCATACATTTTTATGCTGTCCCTACTGTCTAGTTTGGATAACTACTTCAGTTGAGATCTGCTCAGAGATTAATTGGTACTGATTTTTTAAGTTTTTCCCTTCCTCAAGTTTCGGATAATATCGGATAGGGGCGGAGCCTAATTGAGACACGTTATGTAACCATTTTATTAGTTATTTTTCTAGTTTACTTTTGAAATTCCTTAAAAAATTAATATCCGTAACTGAATTTATCCGAAACTAACGGATAATCCGAAATAATTTCATATCCGCATCTGTATCCGTATCCGGTATAATAATCATTCCTATATCTGAAACCTATCCGTATCCGAAATTTCATATCCATAACATCCCTGGTTCTGGCAGTCGTGTAGCGTAAAATCAGCTCTACTCTACCCGACCGTACTGATGTGTGGTGGTGTTGTTATCCGCAGGAGATAGTGACGCTGGCGGGGTACGCGACGCGCGTGTCGGACATGTTGACGGTGTTTGCGGAGGTGGCCAAGGGCCGATGTGTGCGCAGTGTGCACGTGGCGCCAGCTATAACCGCGCCACCAGGCACCTTCCAGGTCACCTTCAAGGACAACCATCCCGTGCCGCAAGGTACCTAACATACATACGTCGTAAATAGTCGTAATTGTTTTTTTTAAATGTATATCGGCAGCCTAATAATAAAGATGATTGTAGCGAGTGTGGAAGAGACAGTCACTTGTCGGCAGAAAATGATTTCTAATAAATTTAAATTTAAGGACTTCTGACTGGCCGTATTTATTTTTTAAACTGTATATCGGTAGCCTATTTGAGATGGTAGCAATGAGTGTTGATAAGTGTGTGTGGGCTTGAATGCTCGTACTTACTTTATGAACTTTATATCGGCGACCTAATAAGTTAGATGATAGCTACGTATGTTTTATTTGACAAATGATTCTGTGCACAGGAATGGCGATGTACTTTTTTGAACTGTATATAGACAGTTTAACATTAATGGTGATAGCAGTGAGCGTTCAGTAGATAGATGTATTTGCGCGCTTGAATAGTCGAACTTATTTTGTGAACTGTATTTCAACGGCCTAATAAATTAGATGATATCAAGTAAAGTGTGTGCGTGCAGGCGTGGTGACGTACTTTTAGAACTGTATATCTGCGGCCTAATTCTCTAATTCATTAAATTAGACGATATCAGCTATTATGACATGTGCGCGCAGGCGTGGTGACATTCTTGTTTGAACTGTATACCTGCGGCCTAATGAATTAGATATCAGGTAATGTGTGTGTGTGTGTGTGTGTGTGCCGGCAGGCGTGGTGACGTACTCGAGCGACCTGTCGATCACGCTGCGCAACGTGCCCATCGTGACGCCGGCCTGCGACGTGGTGGCCAGCGGCGTCTCGCTCACCATCGCGCCCGGCACCCACCTGCTCATCGTGGGGCCCAACGGCTGCGGCAAGTCCAGGTACGGGGTTCCAAATATCTCATATCCTGACGAGATAAATACTGTCGTAGCCCAATTATGCATAAACGCCTTTGGAGAGTATACACTCTACCCTGAGGATATAAAAACCATCGTTCCTAAGAATGTCCTTGAATTCTTGTCCCTGATGGGTCTAGGTAACCAACTTTGAAAAAGGGTGAGCATAATACATAAATTATATATATTAGCACTGCGACCTACATGTATGTAGATGTAGGTCACAGTGCTACAGGTCTAAAACACCTGTAATAGCTCAAACCTCTGGATGGCACTGTGTAAATTGTCCTGAGCTATTGTATATATATATTGTATGATTGTGTAACGAGATAGTCGGTAGTGTCAGTAGCCTGTTTGACACCATGTCGGATTAAGTAATGAAAGAACTGTTTGTCCGCAGCCTGTTCCGCATCGTGTCGGGGCTGTGGCCGGTGTTCGGCGGCGAGCTGCAGGTCCCGCGCCCGTGCGGCTGCAGCGTGTGCTCCGACGAGACCAACACCCTCGCAGACGACGTCTGCGCCTCCAGACCCATCATGTTCTACATCCCTCAGAGGTACCCTATTGTAGACGTGATGCCTGCCGTTGAAAACTTTTGTTAATAGATGAAATGGTGCACCCGTCTGCGCTAACGGTTTATGCCGGTAGGGCAGAGGACGATGATAAGATGAGCATGAGGTCAGGTTAGGTCAGTTAGATCAGTGTGGTAAGTTCACCAGGAATTTATCACAATGATCTCCAGAAAGAATAGTCCATATTACTAACAATTTTTTCTCTTCTGTTTAAAATGCATTTTTCGTTATTAACGGTTAATTAACCGTTTTTCTGCTCGGTACTTTTAGTAGCTAGAATTAAAAAAGGTTTGAAAAAATTAAATACAAATTAATTTTCTCAACTAGAAACTCCAAAAACGAGCTCTCTTACGAGTTTTGATGTTACACCTAATTGGATTATTTTAATAGACAGTTATGAAGACTATTATAAAATTTCAAGCGCCGTAAATATCACATCATCCAGAACAGATATTCTGTATTAAAATAATACAGCAAAAATATAAATGTTTATTCTTTTTCTCTGTTACAATCGAATAACTAACCGTTTACCAGTAGCTAAGCATAATACTTTCTTTACTAAATGATATACAAGGTTGTATAATTTAACCATAATTTAGGTTAAGTATCGGTAGGTGACCGGTAGTGGACTCGTATGAGGTGGAGTGAGACGTGTGTTTGTCGGCAGGCCGTACATGTCGGAGGGCACGCTGATGGACCAGGTGACGTACCCGGCGCGCGTGGCCGAGGCCGGGCCGCACGTGGCGGCGGCGGAGGCCCGCGCGCGCCGCATCCTGCGCGTGGTGCGCCTCGACGCCTGCGCGGCGCGCCACGGGGGGCTCCGCGCCTCCGCCGACTGGCGCGCCACGCTCTCCGGCGGAGAGAAGCAGCGCATGGCCATGGCCAGGATGTTCTACCACAGGTGCGCCACCCACGCCTCGTTTTCAAACCGCAGCCGGTATTTACGGCTTCACCGGACGATCGCAGATGCCACTCTAAAACAAAGGAAGGACTTATGGATCGTTTTCGGACTGCTCTGATGCCCAGCCGTCGACCGCACCCGGTATTTACGGCTGCACCGGACGATCGCAGATAGCGAGTGCAGATGCCACTCTAAAACAAAACAAGGACTTATGGAGCGGCTAAAAGAGATACGACTTTAGTCTGAAAACACCGCTAAGGATTCCCTACACAATGTGCACTGTAGCAGGATTCGTTCGACAGTTTGATTACCGTTTCGTTTCACTCTTAAAAGTTGCCGCGATTTACAAATTATGACTTAGTATTTCAGCTGTACTACATTCACATTATATTAAATAATTATTAAGTGTATTGACTTAAATTTAGCAATTGTTAAATGTAAAATTAGTAGCTGTCACTCGCATCACGTTACAGCGCACACAGTAAACACATTTTTTTTTTCATTAATAATGGGACTGCGCTTGGTCTTACCTCATCTGATGATAAAAATAAATGACAAGATCTAGGATGTAGCGCGCTTACGCAGAAGATATCTATTCCCCATAGATTTAACTTCGGACTACTCTACTGCTATTGGCAACAGCCAGCCTTTACAGCTTCATTCAAAAAAAAAGGACTTATGATGCGACTGACGAACAACTCCCGACTGACGGATACAACTTTAGTCTAAGGGCACCACTAGGAGTTAGAACCTCAGCTTAAGTAAGCCGTTGTAATTTCGATCCCCGTTTGAATTGGACGGGGGATCGATCAGAAGAGTCATTTAAGTTGTCGTTTGTTTGTTTGAACGCCCTAATCTCAGGAACTACTGGTTCGAATTAAAAAAATCTTTTTATGTTGGATAGTCCATTTGTCGAAGAAGGCTTTAAGCTATATAACATACAACTACCACCAATAGGAGCGGAGCTGCGATGAAAGATATTGCAAAAGGTGGGGGAATGAAACACAGACGAAGTTGCTTGGGTCAGGTAGTACTATATACCATCTAAAATTTAATGTACCCTCACAGTTAACAATAAAGATTTAACCTATTCTGTTCTATTACAGGCCAGTATACGCGTTACTGGACGAGTGCACGAGCGCGGTCTCGATGGAGACTGAAGTGGTTATGTACGAGGAAGCCGTCAAGGAAGGCATCACCCTGCTTTCCATCACCCACAGGCCCAGCGTCTGGTTAGTATTCAAATGCTATTCAATTTCAACGCCATTTTATATTTAATTTTTTCATGTAATTGGCATTGCATCTATATGGACGGTAGGGAAAAAATTATATAGAAATAGACGTTCATAAGCTAAAATTTCTTACGTCCATAAAATACATTGAAATATTCAATTGAGTTTCTTGCCAGTTCTTCTCAATTGGATCTATATACTTAACTGGACGGTAGGGAAAATAATATAATATAAAAAAATTGACGTTCACAAGCAACTAAAATGTTCTACATGATTTTTTAATTTTTTGAAAAGTTCAGCCGCAGGTCACGGTGGTCTAGCGGTTTAGCACACCACTTTTCTTCCGATGGTCGCGGGTTCGATTGCTCGCACGGTACAAACATTTGTATTCATGTGTATGATTGTTCGCATGTTTTCTATGTATATTATATATATATATTTACAAAGTTTTAAGTATATCTAACAGTATTTAAGTATTTATATCCGTTGTCTAGTACCCATAACACGAGCTCTACTTAGCTTGGAACTAGATGGCGCTGTGTGAATTGTTTTGAGTTATTATTATTATTATTATTATTTTCTCTTTTCATAGCGAAGCTGGTGATTTGTACCAAGGACGGGACATGCCAAGCATTTATTATTATTATTTAAATAATAATAATAATAATAAATGAATTAGGATTATTTTTATTCTATTCTATTCTTGTTTATTCCAGGAAATACCACACCCACGTGCTGGAATTCGACGGTACCGGCAATTGGTCGTTCCGGCCGCTGGAGAAGGACGCCCCAGCTATCACCACCGGGCTGACTGGCATCCTCGGAGGCTCTGCAGCCAACGGAACCAGCTCCAGTGCCACCACTGCGCCTGCCACGACTGAAGTTACAGACAGCAGTGATGAGTAAAGGATACTTGCCAAATTTAGCAAATTATTGTGATTAATTAATTAGTATATATTGCACACCTTTGTATACAATTTGGAAAATACACTCTGAAGTTTTAAGTTTAAAGTCTAATTTCGAAGATTTTTATTATTTATTTTATTAATATTAGTACTTAAAATTATAAATATTGGAAAATCTACTCTAAAGCTTCAGCATTAAAGTCTACTTTCAAATGTTAGATTTATTTTATTTATCCAGCTTTTCATAAAATACAACATTTTGAAAATCCACTCTAAAGTTTTAACTTTAAAATCTAATTTCAAATAATTTAAATATTTTTAGTTCATCCGGTTATTTTACTCTAAAACTACAAAGTTTGGAAAATCAACTCTAACGGTGTAGCCTTTAAGTCTACTTTAAAAAAAATGAAATTCAGTATATCCAGTATTGTACTAGGTGTGCTATATATTCTATAGCAATGGACAGTAACACTAATGTATCTTATTCATAAAAAAAATATATTTCATAAACCTGTTTTAGTTATTCAACTATTCTGTCCTTTTCTTATAAGTTATTTTGTTAATTTAAAAGAAAGAGATAAAAGATAGATAATGGTTTTTAAAACAGTTTAATTGATAAATTGGTTTTTATGAATAAGACGGTTAGTTACTTAACATATACATACAAGTTAAATTATATCAATAACTCTATGTTTAACTGTGATTAAATGAATTAACCGAATTGTGGGAATTATCAGTTCAAAATAATTTCAAACAGAATTTTATATCCGCTAATCCGGATCCTCTTAATTGAAGCAAATCCTGATAATCGAAATATATCTTTGATTTGCAAACGAGCCCAATAATGTATCTTTAAATAAAAGTTTTAACTCCAGAAACCATTTAATATGGCAACAAAAAACTTCCTTAATTGTATATATATGTAACATTACAATATATAAAAAGGTCATAACATTAATAAGCGTGAAGATATACTCAAAAACATACTTTTTCTCTTTAAATATATTCTTTCCTTACGAAAGTCGAAAAGGCCATGTTGATATAGCGGTCACGTCACTCCTAGTCTATATATTATATATGGGAGATAGAAGCCTACCTATAAGATATACTACTGGAAGCGGCCCTAAATTATGAACACAGTTAATGTTTTTGTTATAAATAACTTTATGTACATGTAAATCAATTTGAAGACATTTTTGCTTGTTTTGTAGCAATGTTCGATCGGTACAAATGTATTACATATATATTTTTATATGTAGATATTGTTGAACATGTTTAGTTTTTAATCCTGAATTTCTTCTCAAATCATATAACAAAACAATTAATAAATTAATTAGAAAATAATTAAAATAAAAGGCCGGCAACGCACTTGCAATTCCCCTGGTGTTGTGGGTGCTCATGGGCGGCGGTCACTTACCATCAGGTGAGCCGCAAGCTCATTTGTCCTCTATGCTATAAAAAAATCTGAATATAACTTAACACTTTCAACGATAAGCGAAACTGGAATAAACCGGTTTACACTAGTTAATTAAACTAGTATAAACTGGTTTATTCCAGTTTTAGTGCCTGTAATACAGTACTACAAAAACAAAATCGTCTTCAAGCTGATTTGTCTATAGTCTATACATTATGTTAAGCTCTTATATTAATATTAATATCGTTTATTAAATAAACACAGTCCAATTTTAATATTAAATAAATATAGCATTTGATACATACACTTGTGTACTTATAAAACAAAATGGTTGACGGACTTGTAAAAATATATTTTTTTAATTGCATTTCTTTTGTGTCGGACTTATATTTTTTAATGTTTTTTTTTTATTCGTGTCGTCGGCGGTTTGTGACCACAGATATGTAATAGGTACATTGCAGATTATGTTGTGATATTTTAGTTTGTTATGATTATTTTTAGCGACTGTTAATTAATTGTTTTGCTTCTATGATTTTATTTAACATATAATTACAATGTAATGTACAGGGTTGTACGATATAGAAATGAAAACTAAATATAAGTTATTTAAATATTTACATGTACAACTGTAATTTTCAATATTTATTATTGTATTTTGGTATGTCTTTTATTGATATTAGTCAAAAATAAGAATATCGCATATAGAATAAAATGATTCACAGAAATATTTTCCTGTTTTAAGTATTTCTATTTCAATAAAAGACACACGAGAGTTGTGACAGGTTATATAAACATGGAATCACATATATTAATTACATCACTAATGGTACAGCCATGCGAAAACAACACTTATGAACCTAATTTTACTTTATTTATTTAATTTAAATTCTTTGTAATTATCACATCACAGTGACAATATATATATTTAATTGTTTACATGTCTGTACATATACGTTTTATTTTCCAAAGTGACGGTAGAATGGATTTAGGAGAGGTGTGTGTTACATACAATATTCTAGTATCATAAATGGATATATGGGCGCAATATACACTGTGACGTCCCGGGTGCTGTTCGTTATGGTTACCATATGAGGCCGTAAGCTTATTTGTAATTTTTTTTTATAAAGAATTTTGTATGTTTTTATTACTGTTTAAAAAACAATATGAGATTGAAAGGGATGACGTTGGGAAGTCATTATACTATATTATGTTGTATGTATGTGTGTATATATAAAAAAAAAATATTGTCGGCAATACTTAACGATTGGTTTGATATTACTGATAAAATTAACCTGAGTAATCTAATAACGGCAATTTTTAAATATAATCTGTAGTAAAAATTAAGTAATGAACTGTATAATTCAGTTATCTATGACCATCCTTTTTTTTTTATTTAAACATCACACGACTTTTTTTTTCTCTTATTTTAGCTCCGGCGGTATGTGTTGCCATTAGCCACACGACTTTAAGTGGGAGAGTATTGTAGCTCTACTCCAGATATTTGATAAATTAAAAAAGAATAAATTGTATGACAATCCCAGTGCCTAAAGTTACAGGTGCTTACAATATTACAAGCGTTAGTGATGGTCACATGTAAAATGAAACGGCGGACATGCTGTCTCCCTCGCACCCTTGGATATTTGTGTAACGGTTTTTAATTAACAATTAATGTTAACATATTTTTTTATATTATGTGAGATTGTCAAAGTGGCTGTTGATTATTTTATATATATATTTATGTACCTTTGTTGTAAGTATATAAGAGGAATGTTACATATCGCGAATTATTAATGTATTTTTTTATGATTTCTCTTTCACTGGTGTGTATTGATAGAAAATCTTGAGTTTGAAATTTTTTAATTTTATTTTCTGTTCAAATATCAGTTGGCAAATGGCAACATCTATTTGCCCACTGGTGAGATATAATAAGTGTTTTTTTATCAATATGTGACAGTTGTAGTGGATAAAATAATGTGTATAGTGTAAATATATTAGTATGCAGGAGACGATGGGACTTGTAAGTGATTATAAATGGGGTTTATATTGATAATTGTGTTTTATTATATCTTAACCCAATGGCCACAGAAGTCTAGACCATCCCACTGTTCGACTGTATCTGTCCCATCTCTCAGTAACAGAAGAATCGGTACATAAACGACGGAAAGTTAATCGTAAAAAAAAAATTTACGGCCTCGGTGATCTAGCGGTTTAGCACACCGCCTTACTTTCGATAGTCGCGAGTTCGATTCCTCGCACGGCACCAATATTCGTATTCATGAGTATGATTGTTTGTATCGGTCTGGGTATTTTCTGTGTGTAATTCAAATTCAAAATATCTTTATTCATGTAGGTCTATTACAGACTCTTACGATATGTCAAATCTACCGTCAGTTCGGACTTCGGAACGATTTCGAGATGAGAAGAACTGACAAGAAACTCAGTTCGTATTTTTTTTTAATATTGTACATATTTACAATAATACAGATGTATTTAAATTCAAATTTGGGAGAATAGAGTGACCACCAGCATATGCTATTAATAAATAAAAAAACAAAAAATGTAATCAGTGTTCGCAACCTGAACAGACCAGTCATACTTGTGAACGTGTGCTGCTTGTGGGGACAAGCAGCACACGTTCACAAGTATGACTGGTCTGTTCAGGTTACGAACACTGATTACATTTTCAGTTCAGAGATACAGTTCAGCTTGTTGTTCAAGCAGCACATGACGGATGAGCCAGCCATCATTGCACTAATATGTATGTATTTACGAAAAAAATCTATGTATTTGTATCAGTTATCTAGTACCCATAACACAAGCAATAGCTAGCTTAACTTGGGTCTAGATGGCGCTGTGTGAACTGTCCTGAGATTATTATCATTATTACATAGTATAAAACAAAGTCACTGTCGCTGTCTTTCCGTCTCTATGTATACTTAAATATTTAAAACTACGCAACGGATTTTGAAGTTGCCTTTTTAATAGATGGAATTCAAGAGGAAGGTTTATATATATAATACATGTACCTACACCCGTGCGAAGCCAGGGCGAGTCATCATTGTCTTGCCTTTATCCCATTATTTGTGGTCAGCGCAGTATGTCATTCTCTTCCACTGCTCTCTATCGGCCGTCATATTGGAACATACTCTTCTTTTATTCATATCATCTTTCACACAATCCATCCATCTTTTCTTAGGGCGTCGCCTCCCTTTACATCCATCCACATTCATATTATACACTTTCCATAAGACATGATCCTCGTTCCTCCGCATAACATGCCTATACCAGCTCAATCTTTTACCTCGCAACTTTTCTATAACCGGCATAACTTTCAAACTTCCTCGTATATACACATTCCTTATTCTGTTATTACTGGTGACCCCACACATCCATCTTAACATTCGCATTTCTGCCACATGCACACGCCTTTCGTCCATCCCCTTTACGGCCCAACATTCAGATCCATACAAAATATTATTATAATTGTTATATACTTTTAGTTAGAACTACCGTCCACAGCCACAGTTATAATATTCCGATTTTGCAAACAATCTATAGATAAACATGATAGTAAAAAAACAAAAGAACACAAAATACTGTGACACAAAAAAACAAAAACAACATTAATATATTGTTTTTATATCTCTGTCTTATTTAAACATCCCACTTTGACGAGAAAAATATGAAATGCAGTTCTAGTACATTAGTTTCATGTATTTATATTTACATACCTAATACAAAATGAAGTCGGTACCACTGTATGTTCGCTTAGATCTTTTAAACTACGCAACAGATTTTAATAAAGATGTTATTGAAGAGGAAGTTTATATATATATGTAACTAGCTGTACCCGCAACTTCGTCCGCGTGGAATTTAACTTTATTTTTCTTAAATAAAAGAGTTTTTCTAAAATAAATGTAGCCTAAGTTACTCCTTATTACATCAGCTACCTGCCAAAAAAGGTCCCGTCAAAATCGGCCCAGCGATTTCAGAGATTAGCTGGAAAAAAAGGGAGAGACAGAAAAAAAATGTTATTTTGGTGTATGTACCGTATTTATATTGATATGCATGTAGTAAAAACCGGTTATTTCAATATTACAAACATTACAGACACTCCAATTTTATTTATATGTATAGATAATACATGTACATCAGTACGAAGTTGGGGCGGACTAGTATTGTATAAACATAACGAATACAAAATTCAAATTCAAAATATATTGATTCATGTAAGTCTATTACAGACTCTTATGATATGTCAAATCTACCGCCAGTTCGGAATGATTTCAAGATGAGAAGAACTGACAAGAAACTCAACTCGTATTCTTTTCAATGAACAATTTACTCAACGAGCAAAACTCATGTTCAGTAGCAGCCCATTAGTACTTTTACCAAAAAATTGCCATCTACTGCATTTCTTGTTGCCATTCAAAATAAAAAAAAACCTGCTAGCGCCTCATTAATGGCAATCAAACTGTATGGTAATGAGATATGAAGGTGAGATAACTGCCTGCCGGGAGCAGAGGTCACCAGAGACAGTTCATTAACTCCACAACTAATTGGATGTCCATGTGCTCCGCCAAATTACTTATCAGGATTTGGCGGAAACTGGACGTGCTTTGGGGTTTTTCCACAAGACATATATACTATATGTACTAGTTTTTACTGGATTTTCTGCGTGGGTGGATTACTAAACTTGATCCAACATAACATAACATAATAATATGTTTGGACTGTATTTTTATTTTTGATTTACAGGAGTACAGTGTGTATGGCTTGATAGTTAGAAACAGAAAGGGAGGAGTGACAGTTTGAATGAATCTTTTTTAAACTGTTAAGTGTTGCCATTACAAAACGAAAATATATACTACAAAATATTTATATTTATTTTAGGTTCAAATTGTCTTGAACAATACGAGCTAGAGAAATAAAAAAGGCACAGCAATAATAAATTATAATATTAATACATTCTCTCGCAGCCACTGTGTTTTAGGGGTTTAGCACTTACTTCCAATGGTCACGGTTCGATTCCTTGCACGGTACAAACATTTCTATTCAAAATTATGATTATTTATATTGTTCTGTATATTTTTTATGTATTTATAAAAAATATATCTAAGTATTTTAATCTGTATACTAATACAGACATATTATATATATAAAATCTTAATATGCTATCGTAGTCGTCGATCTCACATTGTATTTTACTGATAAAGGCTATAATAGAATAGCAGAGAGGGTGGACTCACTGCCCCCACTGAGTTATAGACCGTTTTGTCTCATTAATTAGTTTTAAATTATATTATTCTATGGACAATAGCCTATATTATTATTTTTTTTTTCCAAATATTCTCATCTCCCCTCTTAAGGAGAGGAGATGGCAACATACCCCCGGTAGAAGCACAGTCGGCCGGGGTTCAGGGCCCCAGGGAGAGAAACCGGCGTACAATGCGGGCAGAATCTAACAGCACCGCTTTCAGCATCTTTGGAGTGAGCCGCCCCGGAATCCCAACCGTCTGAGATGTTGTTCCAGACTGGTTGGGATAAGACCCTTCACCGACATAACGATTGGAATGATTTCGGTGGACATCACCCCCCACATTTCGGTCACCTCGTGAGCCAGGTCAAAATATTTTCTCTTTTTCTCAGTTTCAGCTTTCTCGAGGTTCTCGTCATGCGGTATGGTGATGTCCACCAAAAACACCCTCGAAAGTACCCGATCCATCACCACGATATCAGGTTTGTTCGCAAGAACGGTCCTGTCCCTGGTGATGGATCGGTCCCAGTAGAGCTTGACGCTGCCGCTTTCGAGGACCGGCTGGGGCTTATAGTACGGCAACCTCTCATTCGCGAGGCCGTACTTTAGAGCTAGTTCTTGATTGAGTATTTTGGCTACCTGGTTGTGTCTGTGCAAGTATTATTATTATTATTATTTATTTATTTTTTCTCAGCTTTTGCTGGTTTTCTCCACACTTACGGACCGAAACCAAGTAAGTGCAGAGTGTGTGTATGTGTGTGTGCGCGTGTATGTATACGCGAGTGTGTGTGTACTTATTGTGTGCTTGGTGTGACTGGTGTTATATCATTTTCATTGATTTCGAGAAATTTTCGGATTGTACGACAGGTATTTAAGATGGCAGCCTTTTGAAGGGTGATGTAGTGTTTTTTGTATATCTAATTGTTTCAGGCTATGATGTAGGTGTTTGGGTATGATACCTGTAGATGAGAGGACTATGGGTATTATATAAACTTTTTCCTGTTTCCAAATTCTTGTTACTTCTTCCTTTAGCTCTGCATATTTGCTTATTTTTCAGCAATTGTCTTCTGTAGATTGTGGGTATTAGGAACTTATTATTATTATTATTAAAATGCACATTAATAATATTAATCCGTCATACTCGTGAGCGGGTGCTGCTTGTGGGGATTAGTCTGTTCGAGTTACGAACACTGATTAGACTATTTGCTTTTGCAATATCATATGCTACATAGTGGTCACTCTATTCTCCCAAATTTGAATTTAAAAATGAATCTGTATTATTGTAAACATTTATTTGAAAAGAATTCGTGTCAGTTCTTCTCATCTCAAAATCATTCCGAACTGACGGTAGATTTGACATATCATCAAAGTCTGTAATAGACTTACATGAATAAATATATTTTAAATTTGAATTTGATAGAATACTATAAACATATAAGTAAATTATCTACGCCCCACGACTTCGTCTGCGTTTTTAAA